GATATTTTTAGTTTCCCCCTCATTGATTTCATATATATATATATATATATATATATATATATGAATAAAAAACTGGATTTGAATCTGATAAAATGCGGATCTTAGACAGCTAAAATATTTTATCTTTCTATGTTTCGCTGATCATCTGTCGTTATCGAAAAATGTGAAGGTAAATTTAATTTTTAACACATTCATATTTCATATATATATATATATATATATATATATATATATATATATATATATATATATATATATATATCTGTGTGTGGGTGGCAATAACTATTCTTCGCTTGATGAACGTCAGAAGACCCGAAACACGTGTCGCAGAATATATGGAAAATTATGTATAATATATATGAAAAAATCCACATTAAAACCAGAAAAGTTTGCGGCTTCTCTTTTCTCTCTGATATATATAATGCTATAATTTAAAAATTGATTTTAAAAAAGATTATTCCCTACTATTAGTGTGTTCGACTCTGACATTGGCTAAACAAATAGTCGAAACTTCTCCTTCGTAAACCTCTCTTTATTTATTGTATATGCTGTTCGCCTTACTAGCTTAAACTTGTAATAATGAGAACTCGACCCATATATATATATATATATATATATATATATATATATATATATATATATATAGTTATATATATATATATATATATATATATATATATATATATATATATATATATATATATATATATATATATATATATATATATATATATATATATATATATATATATATATATATATATATATATATATATATATTAAATATATATATATAGTTAAATCCCAGATGAATTCTGTAGACAAGACAGATTGGTATCAAATGACAATTGGAAAAAAATCTTACATTTGCCGACGCGTTTTGAAAAAAGTCGGAAGACGAAACGCGTCGGCAAAATGCCAGATTTTGTCAATTCTCATTTGGTACCATATATATATATATATATATATATATATATATATATATATATATATATTCAATATAAAGAGACAATGGAATTTCGTGCATGTCTTCAACGCTCGACTCTTCCGAAAACCTGACACGTTTACGCCGTGCTAAGCGATGAGATGTGTAGCTATGCGAGTATTATCAGAGTTGGCTCCCGAAAACACTGTAACCACAACATCTAGGAGTTTGAAAGGTGCCCTGTATATTGTTTTGTTCGCGTGTGCGATAAAAGATACTGTGACTCAAAGGAAGCAGAGCTAGATTTAACTGACCCATTTCTTGTAAGGATAAAACAAACGTAGAACAAGCTCCTCAGTGTCATTCTCGAGTATCCTGTTTTTTTTTTAGTGACACTCTAAATATATGTACCATCCTGGGTATGACGATAAACTATATCCGGCAGCAAGGTCTCTGAAGTGGGGCTTTGAGGAGCGTGAAACCTTCTCTTAATTGCTGTTGTTCCCAGGTCCACACTGACCCGGTTGGTAGCACCTGTTAGGAACCCAGCTATGGAGAAATTGTTAAACCCCAAACTGGGGTCAAAACACTGAAAGTATAAAAAAAATTAATAGTAAAAATAGCAGCAATATATTTTCATAGTAAAAAAAATTACCAGCAATATGTTTTTGTAAAATTTTATTTTTTTACAAAAACACATATCTATTCCCAGCAATACGTTTTTAAAATTACTAATGCTCCTAAGAAAATTAAATTTCGGCATTAAATGACCCATATGGCGTCGATATGCCGCTAAACAAGCAAATAAATAAATAAAATAAATACATGTCAAGCTGTTAATATCAACTTTCTATGTAAATTTTAGTAAAGTATTTTGCACGAACATCCACCAATTTTATTGTTATTTCTTTTCCTGTAAAATATGCCTTTGTTTTCTTTTATGTGTCGTGTTCCTTCCTGACATGTGCGATCATGGCTCTCCTTTACTTCCTTCTTCTTTGTGGATGTAAGCAATATTTGTCCCGTTACCATCTCTCACTGTCCATGTTCTGGCATCATCTTGTTAGGTAGGTTATTCACAGTTCTCTTATGCTCCTCTTGCTTTCAAAATAACCTGTGAGTGTTAAATTCCCCAAGACTTCTTTCCTAATTATGCGTTTTAGAAATTTCAACTATTTCTCATTTTAAGTGTCCTTTTCGTTTCCATTTTCCTTAAAACGTCCTCGTTGCTCACATAGTATTCTCAGTATCCATCTGTAGAACCACGTCTTAGTTGCCTAAAGTCTCCTCTCCATTTGTGGAGATTATCCAACATTCGCGGTTTACAGCCACATCACGTTGAAAACAGTTGTTCACGTACGATCACCGAAATTAAGCATCGTTTAGCCTGGTCAGTAGCTAGATGGGTGGCCGTTTGTGAATACCAGGCGCTGTAAATTTGGATGTGCGAATAGTATAGCTTATGGCCATATCACGTTGAAACGCCGGTTCTCGTATGATCACCGAGGTTAAGCAATGTCGAGACTGGTCAGTAACTATATGGATGAATATTTGGGAATACCAGGTGCTGCAAGCTTGTATGTGCCGGTGATATAATGGATAATGGCTCGGAATTGTTAATCAGAGGACCGAGTTTCAATTCGCGTTGGGTTCGTTATATTCACTTACGGCAAAGGCATGAATCCATATTCACCCTCTAGTTATGGATTAATTAGTAAGGCTTATATCATTAAACCATTATTATCTAAAAAAAAAATTAATCTTACAATCTAAAAATATTTTCTTGTTTTAAATAACCTGCAATGGGTTGATAAGTCGTAAAAAACGAATCAATCAATAAAAACAAGCTATATAGGATATTACATAGCAGTTCTTCAGTCTATTCTTTGTTTTGACTGAAAGTTTTGTTTTTCTTAATGCTTTGCTTAGCTTTTGGAAGACATCTTTTCCTAGTCCATTTCCCCCTCATTACTCTTGTGATTGTGTCTTACTAGATCAATTACGACTGAATAGTATGTTCGTTCTTCATTGGGTTCCTCAAACTTTTGGCTTTGTGCCACATTAAAGCTACGCTTAGGAAATCACCATTACTCTTGTGATTTTTATGGAATCTCCAAAATAAAGAATCGTCATGAGAAATTTGCAATACTTTCTCACTCTATGACCAGTGCGATCAGTTTGTTTCTTTATTCATAACATCTGGATATGTTCCAATAGTACGCTAAAAAAAAGTACGCTAAAAAAAAAGTACGCAAAAAAAAAAGTCCGTTACAGTTATTTGAATATTTTTGTTGGCCCGTGCCCCAAATCTAATTATAGTGTTGGAATGTTTGGCGAGCTGGAACTGTAATATTTTATTTTTTATTTATATATATATATATATCAGTTAATTTCTCTGCTGAATTTATGGTTATTTTATTTTATGTTTTTTTATGACAATGGTGGGTGGCGAAAACGTCTTTAAATTATCAGCACATGCTTGTCGCAATTCTTCACCCGGTGTTCAATTATCGGAGTGCTCTGGAAAATGTTCTGGCAGAGGACGGTAAGTGCGACGCTGTCATCCGAAGACGTATTGGGATGGTCAAAGACGCATTCCAAATTGCTAGACAGTGTATTACTAGACAGGCTGATTTCGTCGGTAACAAAGAAAAGAGTGCTGAACTGCTATATTGATATCTGTCCACCTTTACGGCAGCGAATGCTGGACGGTCTTTTCAAAGATGAAGAAGAAACTCGAGGCAACGGAGGTATGGTTCTACAGAAGGATGCTAAGGATACCATGGACCGAACATGTGAGCAATGATGAGGCTTTGAAGAGGATGAGAACAAGGAAGAAGCTCATACTTAACATCAGAAAGAGGCAGCTGAAATTTCTGGGCCATGTAATGAGAAAGGAGGGCTTGGAGAATCTGATACTCACAGGGCGATTAGAACGAAAGAGAGACAAGGGAAAGCAACGCGTGACATACCTAGTGGGCTTAAGGAAGTGGATGACAGAACATGGTCTGGGAGATGTAGCAAAAAGACAAGACATATTGAGAACTACAAGGGATAGGGGGGAGAGCCATGATCGCCTACGTTACATAAAAGAAATTAAAATTACTTTCTATATATCTATCTGTAAAAGAAAATAAAGGGGGTCCTCGACTTAAAAGAGAGCCCCATGCGTCCTAATGCCATTTTCCGAAGTAAGTCGGAACATACCGGCGATTTTCCGTGAATAAGCACTCACCAACAATATGGCGTAACCAAACTAGCTACTTTACGCTATCGACTATCGGGCCCTGAACAACCACCAATCGCGATGAATTGATGTTCCCTCATGGAGGCCCTTGAGTATCGTAAGCGCCTGTTGGGACTTCAACACAGACCTCAAAAAAAGTTTGGACATACGATCCATCGCTAAAGGTGCAGGAAAAATAGTCGGTTGCTTGTACCGCTCCAGAAAGTACCTGATTCCCCGTGCTATCCTTTACCTTTACAAGAGTCAGAGCTGGCCTACAAATAAAGCCTCTTGTCATATATGGACAGGTGCTGCTCAGTCTTTAGTCACGATAGGGTCCAAAAGCGTCTCCGCATTCTTGTGGGGATAAATTATATGTATGTATATATATATATATATATATATATATATATATATATATATATATATATATATATATATTATGTAGTGTTACATTAGAACATGCATATCTACTACAAAACTGTACATCTTGTTTCAACGCTAAAAAACGAAAACTTTTTAACGTTTCATCAGGTGGTGAATGCGACTGAAATATTTTATTTAGAAATGCAGTTATCGAAATGCTATTTGCATGTATATGTATGTATATATATATATATATATATATATATATATATATATATATATATATAAGCATATGCATATATATATGTATATATATATACATAAGTGTATCTATCTATCTATCTATCTATCTATCTATCTATTCATCTATATATATATATATATATATATATATATGTGCATACTTATGTATCTGTACATATATACATACAGATAGTGTGTTTTTATATAGTAAATTGACATCTAAAAATAATTCAATAAAGGATACTTTATTAAAAAATAAATTACATTAAGATTTACTTTATTAAAAACAAAAAAATCCTTAATTTTGTTTTGTATTTTTCGATTTATTTCATTAAAAATAATTAAAAACAAGTGTGTTTTATTGAATTATGTTTTATATGTCAATTTACTTTATTAAAAAATAAATTTCTTTATGATTTATTTTAATAAAATTAATCAAAAAACTGGTTCATCTTGTGCGACACCCAGCATTATATACCGGCAATCCTGACAAAAAGGTTGCCGTTAGAAAGGCAATGCTTCAGTGGTGTTTCTACTTGCGAAACGAAGGAGAATGCAAATTTGAGGTAGGAAAAATAATCTATTAATTCATCATTTATATAAGGTATTTATGAATTTTAAGTGGCACATATTGTGGATGGTGTTTTGCACTTCATGTAGGGACAAAAGACATTTAGAGTACGTAGGAGGCAGGCCCAGGCTAAAGGAGTTACTGTAATGCTGGGTGTCTCACAAGATGTGGTACATATTTCAGACAGGTTGAAGGAGCTTAGGTGTACTGTTAAGGTTATTGAAAGGTACCCTATCGTCGTTTGGCTTTGCAAGAGTTTGTTGGAGGTGAAAGAAAATCAGAAGAGAAGTTCCGATGGCATGATTTTAAGTTGAACCTAAACTTGCCAGAAAGTGACCCACAAACTTGATTTCATGACCTTTCTCTACGGTACACATTGAATGAGACATTCAGAATCCAGTTATGAAAATACAATGGGTTGATGCTGACACTGTTATATTTTCGAGTGGCGCCTTCTGCAACATGTCCGTCATGAAAAATTTCGACTTTACTATACTGTACTAGATTGGCAGCTAGGTCTCCTCATTTTAGAGTTGAAATAGCAAGATTTAACCGCAAATTCTATGCTAACAGTTTCTTCGCCCGCATGAACGAAAACAAACGTACGGTATCTAAATCTTCGTATCAGTTATTTTGCGGTAATTGGTTTTTATCACTAGTTTCGAGTACCTTTGTACACGAAAAGATGAAGAGAATTTATTTGCTATAAAATATGTCCAGAATTATGCCCAGTACTGCGATATTTAACTACGGTAGGCCTACTAGTATTGTTTAGAAACCGGGGTTGCATTACACACGAGCTACATTAAAAATCAGGTATTTCACAAAATAATTCAGTGGTCGCACTATACATGAAGTAGGTTTATACACGGGTAATATATGGTGTTATTATTATTATTATTTTATTTGAAATGTAAAGGAGATACGTTCATTAATTTCTTTTAAATTTTATTTAGAATTATCGTATAAATTACTTATATATATATATATATATATATATATATATATATAGTAATCTGTTGGTATATAATTCAAGTGAATCCTATTAACACACTATAAAATATTAAATATTGAATATTAAATATTAAAAAAGATTCACACATAGAGCTCAATGTTTTTATAATAAACAGAGCAATATATTTAATAGAATCTGAATTAAAATACCATTTCACCTTGTAAAATTTAATTTGAAAAAAATGTAAATTGTAATTTACATACTGTTATCTAAATTCCAATTTATGATATATATATATATATATATATATATATATATATATATATATATATATATATATATATATATATTTTCAGTTGAAATTTATAAAATCTTTTTCTTAAAACAATTTTTCAGGGAAATAGGTTTCGCAAATCCAGTAATTGTTATTGCTCTTTCCAGCACTGATGGCAGGAGAGGAGGGGGGGCTTCTTAACTAACTTTTTGTTTGAAGCAGTGTGGCATGTAAACATTGAAAACTGTCAAGAGGTAGCCTTATTAACTAGAGACATCTTTTTAAATAGACTCGTCAGTTAGAGACTGTTACATGGATGTCATGCCTGGCGCTAAATCCGTTCAGAAATATCTAAACTGTCAGCTGTATGCAACCACTTTTCTTAGTTCTCTGGTTAAAACTGGCTTCGAGCGAGGGAGACTTGTAGATCTTGGCGGACCCCCCCGCCATCTTCAAACAGATTCACAAACAAAGAACTGTACCAAATAATAGAAGTCACGTCACTTGAAGAAATCCAACAGTGGCAACAGCTAAAACGGACAGCACATGTAACTTGAAGAGAAAATAATTACATAATCAAGATAGTGACGTTCCACACTCTACTTCAAATAAAAGGTTAGGAAGGAAACTACTATCAGTACTGAAAGAGCTATAACAGCTACTGGGCTTGAGAAAACCTGTTTTTCTGACAAATTGTTTTAAGAGAAAGATTCGAACCATCAGTATTACTAGCGGCTCGGTCAATGAAGGACGAAGGTTTCCTTATAAGGAAACGGTTAATATTACTAATATCGTTCTCATTATTTTATATTATTTTAAGACCTACTTTATATAAGTTTGTTTCTATATATAGGCCATTCTAAATGAAACCGTTTCCCTGTGTACATTAATTGCTGCTACATTTTCTTCGTTTGGGCGTATTACGTCAAAACATGGCGAG